CTCCCAGAGGCTCTGCTTCAAATCTGGAGTGGGGCCCAAGAATCAGCATTGCTAATAATTCCTGGGGGTGCTGCTGCTGTTGGAGAGGGACCACACTGGAAGGACCCTGGCCAGCAGCGTGGGCGCCCAGGGTTAGGATCTGGGTGTTGTCCAGTAGGCATGTCACCAGATTTCCAAAGCCCGTCTGTCTGCCAGACTCCAGGAACCAACGAAGCTCATCGCCAACGCCCAGCTCCAAGTCTTACGGCTCCAGCTTTTCTGAACATCCAGCATAGAGGCTTGGAGTGGCAGGTCCTATGGCCTCAGCAAAGGCACACACAGAGATTCAGAAACATTTCTGGAAAGAAAACCCACTGTTGAGGAGGAAAATACGACAGCATTTGGGCAGTTTCAGTATAAAGAATGAGAAACATCTGAATCGAATTACCTTTAAAATTACGCCATTTTAAAAATTAAAGGGAAAAAAAACTCTGGGCCAAAATGTGCTTTGAAAGATTTATGGCCTCCAAAGTGTTAGTACAACGGTTAAAGAGGCTGGGAAAAGGCCCACCGGGCATGCAGCTTCAGTGTCTGCTCTCAAGAGCAGCTCCCCGCAGGTGATCCAAGGAATCTTTCCCTAGTCTGAACCCTAGGCTGTGGCCCCTTGGCTTTGCAAAGGTTTTTTGGATGCACGTTTTGGCTCCAGGAGTTAGCCAGTTGGCGAGGAAACACCAAGCCCAGCCTCATGCAGGCCCAGCCCCAGGGGTGCCTGAGAGAGTTCAAGCATCAGAGACCTCTGTTAGGTCCCTCTGGAAATAAATCCTGCTCCCAGGCTCGGACAACTGGCTCTCTGGTGGAGAACAGGTGCTGTCTGTCCACCGGCCAGATGAGGAGAGCAAAGTACTGTACCAGATAAGGAGACTTTCGAAGGCTGGTGCACAAGCTGAGCACTTAGGCAGTATCTGTGGAGCTGGGACTTCAATGCCCCAATATCCCACACTCTAAAGCCACAGTCCTAATGCAAATACCTAAAAGAAATCACTAGAGAGATAGGAGCCCTAGTGCCAGACCCCACTTTCCACTGAGCTGCTGCTGCCCTTGAACAAGCCCTTCCCACCCCATCTCAGTCTCATCTACACAATGGAGAGGCGCTCATTGCTCAAGAATGACAATGTCTGCCACCCCAGCCCAACCAACGCCCAGGAGTCCAGCCTGGGATTTCCAAGCTTTGCCACTGGGGACTCCCACTTTTCTTATGCCCCATTAACTCACTGTCTTCCTACTGGGGCTTTGAGAGGGTTAGCTGTCAAGTAGCCTTACTGCTGGTAGACATTTAATAGGCTCTGGTGGGGGTGAGGAGGGGGGGAAGGGGTAGGGAAGGACCAGCCTGATTTGTAGCATTTCCCAATTTTTGTGATGTAAATTCTCCCACCATGGCCAATTCTTAAAGCAATCTATAGGCACAGGCAGCAGAGTTGGAAGGAGATTTGTACCAGTTCTCATAGGTCAGCATAGGCTGACTCCAGCACATCCTTGTCTCTCAAAGGCAGCGAATGATATCCTCATAGAGGGTTCTAGAAGGCCAAGGACCAAAGGGATGCACTGTACATTCCCTCTCTCTGTCCCAACATGTGCACAATCACTTCCATATTGTACAAGGTTGCAACAGGTGAGAAAGATCTGTATTTGCTTTTTTTTAATACTTCATATTAGAACATAAGTTCATCTCATTAAGACTTATAAAGTCTTAACATTTCCAATGGCTACATAAAGTTCCATTCATCTATGGGTGTTCCACAGTTTGATGAATGATTCTTACCACCCAAATCACAAAGTTCCAGAGGTGCACCTGAAGCACCTGGAACTGAAGGCAAATGTGCTGGGGGAAGGGGGTAGGTTGAATGAGGGAAGGAAGGCTGGCCTGGAATATAGGCCTCGGACACCCTGCCATCCAGATGTGGGCTGTCACAGTCCTGCCAGTTGGTAGGATTTGGCCCTTTTGTCAGCACTGACCACCGTCACCATAGTGCCCCTGACATCATCAGACAGGACTCACCCCTCCCCTGACTGACAGGCAAAAAGCCAAGAGACACTAAGTGTGTGTCGGTGTGTTATAGGGCACCCCGATGAGAACTGGGTGCCTGTCTGTGGGTCCTCACCTACGTGCTTAAAATTCAGTTGTACTGCAGGCACACACAAAAGAGTCAATAGTGGGTGTATTTACAAAGGAGAAAGGAAAAGATACAACCCAGGAAGAGAGAAAGAGAGAGAGATAGATGTTAACTAGAGCATCCTACCAGCTCTGCTGACTTGGAACCCCAATAACACACTGAAAGCTCATTAGGAGCCAAATGACCAGTGACCAGCCACGTGGTCCAGAAAGAATGAGATGTTGGCCAAGCTCCTCTTACAACACTCAGGTTCACAGGAGACCCTCTGGGAGGTACCAGCTCAAGCTAGGCCCAGCCCTGAGCGTAGAGACATAGAGCTGAATGTCCCCAGCCCTGAGAGGGTCTTCCATACTGGTGACCCACACAGGCTACTTTCTGTTGTCTGGCACCTCCTCCCGCATATTCATTTCACCTGTCAACAGTATACACCCCTGCAGCCAGAAAGGTCCACCACAGAGCCTTCTGGAACTCGGTTTGCAACGAAATGAGAAGTCTCACTCATCACACTTCTGTCACCAGGAGTAAGATGTAAGAAGGACCCAGTGTCACCAGATCATAAAGGCTGAAGAACATCTGTCAAACACCCTCAGATACAGATTAGACACAGGCGCATAGAAGGGAATGGCTTGCCACACAGGATCAAGGATGTTGCTGGAACTAGAACCCAAATCAGTGTTCTCTGAGCTGTCCCACTGGGCCTCTCTTATGGGAGAAATTGTCCTCAGCAAGCCTCTCAGAAAGGGGTGCAGGGAACAGGACAGCTGAGGGGAGTGTCCAGCACACCTGTGCCTGACTTGGGCCTGCTCCCAAGGCAACCAGCTGCTTTTCTGGGGACACTGGGTGACAGGTTAAATCTAGAACATCATACACCAAGTTCCCCTGGGGTGGGGCAATGAGGGGGCAGAGAGTGTGTAGGGGTAGGCAGGGATGGCACCCTAAGGTAGAGCAGATTGAAGTGGGACCCCACACTGCAGACACACTGCCCCCCAGACTAGGAATCCCTCAGGCATCGTTGTTACAACAGCATCAACGGTGACAACCAGCTCCGACACTAGGAGGGCTTCCTCCCTGGTTCCATCCTAATTACTGTCTAATTACCGCCTACATCAGTTCCCTGCTATAGTGACACCGTAGTAAATCCTGCCGTGTGGCAGTTCACGACCCACTCACAGCTTCTCTCATCTCCCAGCTCCCGGATACCACCCTTCGTGGGGCTCCACCCAGGGAATGGCTCCTCTCATACCGAGTCAGCACTCTTCCCCCATCCTCACAGCCGCGACTAATCACAGGGCTTCCAAAGGGACATCTCCCCTGGGGGGGTGGGGGGAGGATGGACATCATCTTGCATCAGAGGTCAAATCTGTGGGACCCCAGAGCCAAATGACCAGTGACCAGCCACGCGGTCCAAAAAGAACGAGATGTTGGCCAAGCTCCTCTTACAACACTCAGGTTCACAGGAGACCCTCTGGGAGGTACCAGAGGATAGGAGCATGAAGTCTCCTCTCCCACCTTCAGTCACCCTTCCTGATAGTGACTTCCAATTGAGAATTGGGGGCAGGGACAATAAAAAGAAATACAGTGGGCCCTCCCTGGTGGTGCAGCAGGTTAAAGCACAGCACTGAGAAGCAAAAGCCACTTCTGCATGAGTTCGATTCCCGCCTGCCCGGTAACCCACATGGCGTGGCAGACCTCTCCTGACCCGCCCGCTGCTCCCCTCAGCAGTGTACTTCGTTGATCTGCCTGTTCAGCTCTCCACTCTGTCTCTAGTGAATCCTCTCACCCACCACACCTCTGGCCTGTACCCCCATTCTATAAGCATAAATAAATAAATCTTAAAAAAAAAAAAAAAAAAGAAATATAGTTAACAGCCACCTAGCAGCCTTCAGTTCCCTCCCACACTGAAGTGTCTTTCCTATTCCCTGGGCTCTGGCTCTCCAGCTACACCCGGCGTGAGTGGTAGCCCAGCAGTCCTCGTCTGAGCTCTGGTTAGACATGCCAGGCAGGATCTGCACGCTAACGGTCGCCCCGCGCTGTGTGTGAGCATCAAAGTGTGAGCGGCGCAGCCCACATTCACACACCCACCCCGTGAAGGCGGATCCTCCCCGCTGCTCTCTGAGCTGTGCTTGAGCGGTGAGTAACAGGGCATGACTAAATGAGCTTGAATCAAAAGGGAAAGAAAGGAAATCTCAGCCTCTCCAGCGCTCAGAGACAGAAATAGTTATGTGGCCTCCAGATGGACTGCGCAGGCACCAGGGGAGGTCTCGCCTTCCCGCCAAACTTTCCCGACGGGATCCTGGCACGGACCTGTGGAAACCAGAGTATTTCTCTTTGGGGCAGCAAAATGAGAGGCTGTGGCTCGTGTAGTCCTTCTGTTATAATTAAGTTGGCCAGAAATTCACCTAAGGATACTAAATTCCGTACCTGACCCTCTAATTACAGCCAAGAGGGATCAGAAGACAATTACTTTCCAGAACAGTCCGTGGTGGGAGAAGGGCGTAAGACGGCGTCCCGGCACAGGGCGAATGTGCCAACCGAGCGCACCCCAGGGCCGCCCAGCAACGTCTGCGCCTCCCTTCCCGTGTCCTTCTCCTCCTTCTCCCCCCAACTCAGGCTCCTGCCACAGACTGAGACAGCCCAGGCCCCCAGATTTGGGGGGGTGCCAGACCTCCTAGAAAACTGCAGGCCTGTCCGTCACAGTGCCAGAGATCCTCCGGGCAGAGGCGCCCTCCTCTTCGCCCTCCATAAACCCAGCATGCCTGCCTGATGACATCGGCCACCACTCTAATTAAAACCTAACGGGCTAATGAAAAACACCCCCGCTGCCCGCCAAGTGTGCAAAACAGAAAGTACCTCCTTGGGCAGCTACAGCTGCGGCTGCTGCTGCTGTGGCCACCGCCAGGGCTGAAGACTTCCTGCCCGGGTCGGGGAAAGCCGTGCCCTCCAGGAGTCCGCTCTTGGCGTCTTTCTTCTCCGTGACAGAGGCTGAAGCAGACGTCTCCATCTCAGTCGCTCATAGTCCTGGGTGGCAGCCCTAGAGGAGAAGACAAAGACGTTCGCCAACACTGCCCCCAGACCCAGCCGGGAGACGCCGACCCAGATTCACGGCCGCAGTGCTTCTAAGGCAACCAACTTAATTCTCTTATAATTGGGAAGGAGGGTTTAATTAATTTTGAGAATTATTAGTTCTGAGATTCATCTGGTCTTTTGAACGACCTCGCGGACAACAGTGGAGAGTTTTCATGGTCTTTTACCCTGGATTTGAAAAAGTTAAGCAACAGGTTCCCACTGTGAGTGGTGAGGAGCAAGAGCCACCTAGAGAGAAGCCAGAAGCGATGGATTCAATCTCCAAGTCACAGGACAATAAATGCAAAGCTAATGACGTCTTCCAGGGTCTCAAAGAAAAGTTCTTATTTCCTTGTTTCTTCCCTGCTATCAGGACACTTTTTTTTTTAATTTATTTGTACCTTCATTCATGTAGCCAATTTGTCATCATTTAATCCCTTGCATACACTCAGTCAACATATCTTTCTTTTTTTTTTTTTTAAAGATTTTGTTTATTCATACAGAAATGGGGCACAGGCCAGAGGTGCAGGGGCGGCGAGAGAATTCACCAGAGACAGAGTGGGGAGCAGGACAGGCAGATTGACAAAGTACACTGCTGAGGGGAGCAGCGGGCGAGACAGAAGAGGTCTGCTGCGCCATGTGGGTCACCTCGGGGGCTGGGTTCGAACTCACACTGAAGCGGCCATGGCTTGGCTTAGCTTTGCAGTGCAGCGCTCCAACCCGCTGCACCACCAGGGAGGGCCCCGACATAGCTTTCAGTCCAAGTTATGCATCGGGCGTTGTGTCTGATGCTGAAGATACAATACATGGTGTTTCCATTCTATATGGGGGACAGGTAATAAAAAGGAGAGGGGAATAGGTGTGTATTTAGTCTCCATTGCTGAGAGGTGGCATGGAGAAAGAAAGCAGAGTGGCTATACTGAGCAGGGAGGGTCCGAGGTGGGAAAGAGATGCCCGTGAAGGTCCCCAGCTGGCAGAAAGCAGAGGGCAGCCAGCGGGAGGAGGTGGAGCCCAGGAGCCCAGGCGGGGACTGGAGAAATCTGCCTTATTTGAGGAGCAACGAGGGGCGTACAGGCCCTGCAGGCTTTTGAGCAGTGTTGAAGGGCATGACAGTATAAAGGGGTTACTCCGCTCTTGTGTGGAGAGCAGATTAGGGGTGAAAAGACATAAGTGCCATGTCCCTGAGAGATGCAGTGGTGGGTCTGGTTAAGGCAGCAGTGAAACAGAAATAAATAAAATCTTAAAAAAAAAAAAAGAAAGCTTCAGAGCAACAGGCACTGAAGGCAGAGCAACAGCCCTTGCTATGCTCTGATGCGGGTGTGAAGGAAAGAGGAGTCGACGTGGCTCAGGGGAGAAGTGGGTATACAGGACCCAGGGAAGGCTCATCTCCAAGTGGGTGTTGGGTGACAAGCATTTTATTCCTATGTGTCATGACTTGCAGAGAGTGTAACTGAGTATTTGTAGCAAATGCAACAGGATAATCATTTGAAAACCAATTTTTTAAAGGAAGAGGTCAAAGTGTAAAGATGGCTCCTATCATTTTTGGCTGCACACCTGGATGAACAGTGGTACCATTGGCCAAAATAAAATACAGTAGCAGAGATGCAGTTTCATGGGTAGGAATCAGGGGCTTAGTTTGGAGCATGTTAAGTGTGAAAGGCCAACTAAGACACGCAGGGGAGGGGGGCTGCTGGAAATGTAAGTTGGAGCCCAGCAGAGCATAAAAGACTGAACAATGGCTATGTGGCACTAATGGCCAAGTTCTCCTAGACAGAAAGTGAAGGTGAAGAGGGAATGTTCCAGAATGGAGACAAGGGACACTCCAACAGATGGCCATTCCAGTCAAAGAGAGTGAGCAGGAATGGGGCCCTGGATGCCAACCCAAGAAAGAAATGCTTTGAAGACGAGGAGCCATCAGCTTCAGGTCAAACCACAGAAATTGAGAAGAGAAGGCCTGAGAGCTGGGCATGGCAGCGACCCGGGGTGGGGCCGGGGAGCAAATGGAAGAAGGTACAGGCTCGGACCAAGTCATCAGGAACTTTTGCTGTAGAAAAAAAAGTAAAAAGTGGGGCAATAACTGGAGTCAAGGAAGTCTGTGGTTACAGCTACAGAAGGGAGAAAGGGCGTGTTTGCATGCCCGTGGGAAGGGAATGTTCTGGTAGACAACTCAGGGATTGCAGTGTGGCAGAAACTAAAGGCGGTGGTCAGCTCCATCCCCAGGGACCTCCAAGCTTAAACTACTTCTGTAGCAGCACAATTCTCATTTTTTAAGATTCACACAGAACCCGCATGCCTTTCTAAGTAGAAACTGGGGGTACACAGCCACCATGGGTTCCACTCATGAAAGACAGTCCCAGGCCCCACTAACTTCCCAAGTTCTGAACATCTTGGTTTTGCCTGCACACCCAAGTCATCTCATTTCTATGATCTCTCAAAGTTCCTGCCCAGAAAACCCAAGGCAGAGGAGGAGAAAATATCTCCCTGAGGACTTGGTGACTTATGGGGTTTCCTTTGGCCTTGATATTCTGGGATCACCGGCTGAGCCTCTAATCCTAATTGTATAATCTGTTCTTTCAGATATCTACCCAAATGGCCTTCCCCAAGTGCCCTGGTCCATGCCTGCTCCCCTCTCCTGCCCCACAGTCTGGCCACAAAACCATCTAAGCTGCATCCTTGGGTCATGCTCTCCTGCCCATTCTCCCCTGATGTCTGATCAACTGCAATTCCCATGATTAATCCCCTAAGGACCTTGCCTGTGGAAGCCTCTCTGGCTACTGCTGAGGAATGTTGTACCAATTTTCTTCCCTTCTGGGTGCTGAAACCTTCCTGACCACTTCTGGTCCTTCTCCAAGTCATCCTCTGCCAGAGAGTCAAGCACCTTCCCCCCAAACTCAATCTCATTCATCTCTCCCAAAACCAAGTCCTTTTGAGCCCTTTTGGCTTCACCTTAAGTCTACTTGTGCCTACCTGCACCTTCCCTTCCCACCTCCCCTGCCTACCCAGCTCTACAGCCCTTGATCTTCCCTCCCGCCATGACCCTCAGAGTCTTTGTTCAACCCCAGATTGCTGTGCCAGCCACCAGAAGGAGCATGCTGGAGAAACCCTTACTAGTCTACCCACTGCCAGACTAATTCAGTGCAAGTTTGGTTGGGAATAAGGAGTGAATATACAACTGAATATACAACTGTGCTCTCTTCCCCCATCATAAACTTCCTGTGTGTGATGGGCTCCTACTTCAAGATGCCATGCAGACGCCACCTCCTCCAGGAAGGCCCCCCTCCATCACTTCTCAAAGATCGCTGTCACATCTGCTCCCAGACCCCTGCAGCAACCTGACATCCCAAACTTTATTCCTCATCACCTCCAAGTGAGGAGCTGCTGCCCACTCAGGTGGGCACAAAGTAACTGCTCAGGAATGCTGGCCAAAAAAAGTAGACCTTCGTGGTAGGAAATCAAAGCTTTTTGACATGCAATTGATTTTTTTTTTAAGTTTTATTTATTTATTCATACAGAACTGGGGTACAAGCCAGAGGTGCAGGGGTGGTGAGAGGATTCACCAGAGACAGAGTGGGGAGCAGAACAGGCATACAAACGAAGTACACTGCTGAGGGGAGCAGTGGGCGGGTCAAGAGAGGTCTGCCACGCCATGTGGGTCAGCTCCAGGGCCAGGAATCGAATGCGCACTGAGGCGGCTGCCGCTAGCTTGCAATGCTGCATCCTAACCCATTGCACCACGAGGGAGGGCCCATGTAATTGATTTTATGTACAGTCTGGATTTTTCCTCTCAAGGCACTCTAGTGAAGAAATGAAACACACCTTGCTTGGAAGTGAGGACAAATCAAAATAGCAGCTCAAACAACAAACCTTTAACAAAGGTTTATCAGTCACCAAGCACTTTACACTAGAGGTCTCATTTAATCCAAACAATATTTAACACAGAAAGAACTCAAAATTCAGAGAGGTTGAGCAACGTGCCCAAAGACACAGACTTTAGAAGAGGCTGTGCCAAGCCTTGAACCCAGGCTGCTGCCCACAAAGCTGCACTCGGAAGCAGTGAACTGTTCATCAGTGCAAAGAGACCTGCCCCAGAACTTGCTGGTAGGCATTGAAGTCACTTATTGTTGAGCTCTTCAGGTGTACCAGGAATCCAGGAGGACCCAGAAGCAGGATTTGGCATGTCCCCTGCCATGGTGCCATATCCCAGGTGGCAGGACTGGTAGATAGGAGCCACCAGCCAGGCTGAGCAGAAGCAGCGGGATCTGCTTGCAAGCACCACGGCCGTGCAGGTGGCACCTGTCTGCTGAGCAAGCGGGGGAGGAGCGTGTACTGTTGTACACTCAGTCACCAAGTCTTTATTCCCTAATTCTTTATTGGCAATCAGCCTCAGGTCTCACACTGAGTTAGGTTGCGAGTTGGAAGACCAGCAAAGATTCCTCCAGCACACTCCCACATGAATCAGGCATCCTTCCCCTTGGTTTGGACACTTCCCACACCATGGGGCCCTCACACAGCCTGATCATAACCTGTTAAACACTCCCTGGCTCCTGCTCCTGCACCACGGCAGAGCCTCGAACCCTGAGTTCCCCGGGCACCGATGAGCAGGTGCCCAACTCCCTTGCCAGTGGGGTAATATGGGCACAGGGAGCCAGGCTGTTATTTGAAGGGCCCAGGGCTCAGTGGCGTAGAAACCAGTAGAGGACTCAAGGTGTCAACAATGTCAGCACACGTACCAAACACTAACATCGGTCTCAGAGAGGGAGAAGGAAGCTCCCTGGAGGCAACCCCAACTACAGATGGGGAAACAGGAGCCCTCAGAATTTAGTGTCACGAGGTAAGAAAGGGGTTCAAGAAGGAGCTGTAAAAACTGGGACATGGGGTTGGAAAAAAGAGGAGGAAAAGGTTTTTCTTGGGGAGCAGTTGTTACAACTCCCTCACCTT